GGATGTGGAAGACACTCAAAGTGCAAGTCTTGGATTGTTGCAACTGTTGCACGGGCAGTATGGGGCCGAGCATTGTCATGTCAAGGACACCTCTAGTCAAAAGTCCACGTCGCTTTGATCTGACTGCAGGTCGAAGATGATTCTTCAAGATTCTTCACTGATCAAAAAACGAATTGCAGAACGTTGTTCTTCTTTCGTGCACGTAACTAGTGGAGCAGCCATTTTCAAATTGGCACTGTGATGGCGATATGTTTGTCTGCATTATACTACCACCTATAGGATACTCTTTATAGCATTGGTAACATGTCTGCCAACTTATAGGACAATGGCGCGATATTTCGAATTTTTATCTCAGTTTTACGGTTTTCATTTGACTCACCCTCGTATCATGCAAATGTTAGATCATTCAATTGCAAGAATGATTGTATTGTGTTCACTAATATGACTATGAATGGGTGATGTGCCACTTATTGATCTCTGTAAAAATAATAAATCTTTAATTATTAATGGCTCTTCATTGCCCTTAATTTTGCAAATTTTCATTCTGATGTGTATAATTTATCAGTCCACAAAGATTCATTATGCTGAGATTTTACTGTAGTGTCTAAAGTAACCATTATATTAAATTGGAATCTAAGAAATTATGTTAATTAAAATTTGTTACATATTCATTCTTTGAACAACATTTTTACTTATCTCATGATTTCTTCTGTTTTTTAATGTGTGACCTCTATTGTTTGTTTGTTGTGGCTTACACGATTGATTCACTGAACTATGCATCACGCTAGCATACCACTAAACCATTAACTCAGGAATAAATGTCCAGCAAGCAGCCTTATAATGTGAGGGTTGAAATCCTCCATCCCTGTATAATAAAGTTAAGAACTGTGTTTAACTGAGTGATATATTCAGTTGTTATTTATTATATATTGTGGTGGCCTTATTGGCTTAGGCACCAAGCCCAGACACTGCCTGCATTGGTGCAGTTATTCTATGTATGCTGCATTCTACAAAGTTCTACAAACAATAAGAAAGAAGACTCTCTTTTGGGACTTCATTATAACTTTTTGGAAAAAACTGTAGGCATCTGGTATGGTCACAAGTACTTCAAATATGGGTTCATGCAAACAGCCACCTGAGTTTTGAAATAGTGAACAATAAATGAGCGTGGCAGAAGTACGCAACAAGGAAGTGTGAAGTGAGTATGCGACTGAGAGCTGTAAAGGAGCATAGAATGCAGAACCATGGAACTGAGAATGGTGTAATTACAACAAAAACAGAAAATAGTTCAATCCAGTGAACCAGGACAGTGATTAGCGAAGCATTAGATATTAATCCAAGGAGTAATTGTAATAGTGTCGGATAATTCCATTCAGTTTTAAGAACCACAGTGTAATCACTGATTATGTAACAGTATTTTTAACTGTGATTAACTGTTGTCATTTGTGACATTTTCAGGATAAGAATTTTGCACAAGCTTAAGAAAATGGTATGAAAAATGTTTGTTCTGATAACTTAGAAGCTTCTGTTGTGCTTATTGGAGACTGAAAAGTAGAAGAGCATCTGGCTGCTTGAGTCCTAATAGAGTTTAGTGTGTGTTGGTAGTGTAACAGAAGGCCTTATTTAGCAGTTTTTTCTTGTTACTACTTATTTTTCTATTGCAGCTAATGCAGAGCACAGTGATGTAATTCAGTCTTTGAGCTGGAAGAAGGATGGAACATTGCTTGCAACTTCATGTAAAGACAAACAAGTTCGGATACTGGACCCACGCTTACCAGCAAACAGTTTTACACATATGGCTAACAGTCATCAGAGCATCAAAGATTCCCGAGTGGTGTGGTTAGGAGACGCTAACAGGATTCTTACCACTGGTTTTGATTCTGTAAGCATAGACTTAATTTTAATAATTCTTTTCTGTATGAATAATACACTTAACGTACAGTTTCCAAATTATAATTAACTAACATACCAACAGATTCCATGAAACATATTCCTTCTGAAAAGCTGTTAATTGCTCTGTTAGTCATGAAATTTCGTACAATTTTGGAACCAAAAGTTTCATTGCTGTGTTCATGAGAACTTGTATCAGGAGTCTCAGAGTAATTAGAGCAATTCAATATTCAGTATTAAATATGTTTTCTTTTAAAATACCATTTACAAAAAGGTGTTGCATTTGGTCATTTCCATTACACAGCTCTGGATTGACATGGAAACTTGTCTCTAATTACATATGTCCACTCTGAGGTGTCTTCTCCTTCAAAGATTGCCATAGAGAATATTGCCTATCATGTGTTTTTCATATATGCATGATAAAATGGTGTTCATGAAAGAAGGTCAAGCCTTTTTGAATGTTTTCCTCCTGCAGAATTGTGATGCAGAGCTGGCACAGAAAAATGTCAAATGCCTAGTTAATATGTTTCTGCATTTATGTAAAAGAAAAGTTGTGCACAGATAATCTAAAAGTCGAATAATCGAGAGTTTATTTTATGTTCTACTTCAAATCTATATGCTGCTGTTATTCATGTTGTCCTATGCTGCAAGTAAATTTTAAATTAGCAAAGTGTATGTCTGTTACAGGGTCGGCAGAGGGAAGTTTTCATTCGAGATCTCAGGAACTTTGAGGACTGTGAGAAGTCCCTGGTTTTGGACAGTTCTACAGGGTAAGTATGCTCCTTGTTTGTTTTTAAATGTGCTGGGATGAAAAATTATTCATTGAGAACAGTTGATTTTACTTCTGTACTGAGTTTGCCTTGAGTAGGAGTGAATCATTTGTGAATATCAGCTGTGAGGCTGTAAACTCTGGTAACTTCCTAGGAACCTTTTCAGATGAGAGGTCTAAAAAAAGTAGCGAAGGCTGAGCAAAACAAATGGGAGGATATGCATGTAGGATGACTTGTGGGTGCCTTGCATTTGTCTGAGGAGACTAGTTGCATTATTCAAATCTCTTATATGTATTTTTAGTTTATCTTGCAATGGCTTTTCAGTACCTTAGACTATATAGTGTCATACAAATCTCTTGTATCCCGTTTTATGTTTTGCTGATATATTGGTTGTAGACAAGGAATTAGTTTATGGAAATTCAAGAAAAGTGTCTTTGGCCATTTGCTGTTATGTTTTGAGTGTTTGATTGTTTGAGCAATGTGTTGCAAACTTCGTTCTGATTAATTTCATTGCTGTTTATGAATCAGGATCTTGATCCCGCTGTATGATCCTGATACTGGAATGCTGTTCCTTGCTGGGAAAGGTGACACGACTGTCTCGTACCTTGAGGTGACTGACCGAGAACCGTACCTTATTGAAGGGATTCGTCACAATGGCGATCAGACCAAAGGTGCCTGCCTGGTTCCAAAGCGGGCGTTAGCTGTTATGCAAGGGGAAGTGAACAGATTGCTGCAGCTGACGTCCTCTTCTGTCATCCCCATAATGTACCAGGTGCCAAGGAAGGTGAGGAACTGTTCAAACAAATCAGGTAGTAATAAAATACTGGTTTATGATTCTCTTAGTAGTAACTTCATATGTCTTTCTTTGTGAGTGATGGTAATTATCATCATACAGAAAGTGTTGGATATAAAATCTGTGGACTTGTTTACAAGCTGCTGCAATATCAGATTACGTAGTTTTATGTCATGTTGTTACTATGTTGTTTATTGTCATGTAATATGAATTTCTATACCATATTTATCAAAATACCATGCATGCTGAAATGAGATGTGCCCTATAGTATCAATAAAATCACATTATTTTAATGAAACTAATGCTGAAGGCAAAAATTGATGGATTATATTTTTATGGCTATTCCCTTGTTATAAGCCTGTGCTGTGGCTGATGATACTCGAGTAGGATGGAGAATTCACCTTTCAAGGCCAAGCTTGTATTTTAACACATGGCACTGGTATTCCTCATTTATCCATCATAGACTTTAAGACTTGGTGTGCATCACATCACGTAACTTGGCTTTGTGATCGTTGTATTGGGTTATAATCCATGAGAAAATGTGCAGTTTATGCATATATCTGTCACTTTCCATATTCACCATTTGCCTATCAATCTGAAACATCAGCCAGTGTTTCAACAACATGACGTTAAATCAGGAATAATATGGCTGGCACTTTAAGGAGCTTAAATTTGTTGTTAATGTTTGTTTAAACAGTCGTACCGAGACTTCCATGCAGACCTATTTCCTGATACAACAGGCTGCGAGGCACAGTTGTCTGCAGCACAGTGGCTGCAGGGGCACAATGTTCCTGTTCCCCGCATTAGCTTGGACCCTGCCAAGAGGTCTGCAGGTGAAAGTCCAATTCAGGTTAGTGGCTCATTAGTGCTCCTTTCTAAGATGCTAGGTTCTGAAACCTGAATCTTGCACAGTATATTAATGCTGGCACATCTAATTCTAATTAAATATCCTGCAGACAGGGTGTACTCGGATTTAAATGCCCAAAAAATTGCATGCATACAGATTAAAAATCACAGTTTATAATACCACAAAGTTGGGTTTGGAAGTGGTAATCAGAATAGTTGAAACAGATGTCTACGCCATAATTATCGCACCATTATATTTTGTCCCTCCTC